CAGGTGCAGATAGTCCTGTCTGCCCCACAGTAAATTGAAATCACTGACTTTTTATTTACACAAAAAAAAGAAAATTGTTGACTCAGCTTAAGACAGTTCATATGATTGGTAAGTTTGTTTGAATTAACAAAGTTATATTAGCAAAGGTAATACATTTAATATTAAAACAACTTAATTTTTTTAATGTAGCATATATGCCAAACATCATCGTGAACATGTATACCAACAGCTTACCTATATTAGCATTTAGCTCAAAACATGCAGTAGACTGCAGCCTCTGCTGATGTGTGGACTGTCAGTCAGTGGTGATCTTCTGCCATTGATAATGGTGTACTGTGGCTTTAATGGAGCTGAAATATTTTCTTTATTAATAAAAATCTGCTTTTAATGATCATTTTATTGTTTTCATTTGACATGATTTTTTCAAGTATTAAAAACTGTTAAATCCTGTTGCTGAAAGAAATGTCTATTCTGTGGGTGGCATTACATCTGCACTGAATACCATCAAAACTTAAATGCTCTGAAGCGAGACAATAACCCTGAACTGCCCTGCAGGAAAATCCAGAGCTCTCTGAACCAATCTGCAGTGGATGAGTGGAGGGCAATGAGTGCATTTGAAGAATGCCATTTTATACATTAAGTTGAAAGTTTGAATAGCTTTTATATTATGCCGAGCTTTGTTTTAGTGAAGCAGCATTATTTTCCTGCCTTATAAATGTGACTAAGGTATAATGTCTTCTTAATGTCTTATCTTTTATATTTGTGATTATTCTATACGTATTTAAAGCACTTTTAAATATCTTGTTTTTGTTGCCTTTTCAATGCAACGTTAATGTCTTCTTTAATGTATTTTTATGCCTGTGTGAAGCACTTTAAATTAACTTGTGTCTAGATGGTGCTATATAAATAAATCTGCCTTGCTTTGCCTTCAGAGAGGGCAATTGCATTTTTACCCCTTCATTGTACAAGGTGTTATCAGAAGATCCTCTCCATCATCATGAAGAGCATATCTTCAGTTCCTTCCATTCTGGCTAAACCTGATCAATTCTGGAAATTGTCTCGCTATGAACTAAACTTGGCAAAAAAATGAATTATATCTTGTAAACCCAGGAGAAAGAGTTTTCACAATGGATTTGGCATTAAATTCAATCCAACCCTGCTAATTAATTAGTGTAGAATAGAACCGGAAAAACTATATCAATGTTACGTGATAAATTGTATTGAAGGTTCATTTTCTGGCATATGTACGGTAAAACACAAGCTGAATTATTTCCTTGAGAAGGTCCAATTATAAAACATGCAGACTGTATCACCCCTCCTCTCGTTTCTCCATGGGGACAAGACGAAACAATCACAGAGCCATGTATGAATGCTTAGCTCAGTCTGAATTTATTCATAATGCTCCCCTGGAAATGCCTGGGAATAAATCACTTTCTTTCCCAGAGATCTTTCTCGTTTCACCCCCATCCCTCTCCATTTCTCTGGAGGAGCAGGAAGAGCTCACAGAGAGAGAGAGAGAGAAGTGCAGGAGAGAGAAAATGAGAGAACTCATTGTGCTGGGGGGTGGAATAAGTTATTGAACTCAAAGTACAATAAGTTTGCACAGAGATTCATTAGCAAGAAGATGGTGTATTACTTTGCTTTGAGTTAATGACATGCAATGTTTTTAATCATCACATGGAAGAGGACAGTCATTCCTGTGGAAATGGAAGAAGTATTGAAATCTGCAGAAAAGTCTTAAAAGATTGATACCACTGTCAATATATAAAACTTGAAGCTGTGTAGCCAACACATTATATTTTGTTTATCAAAGAATTGTAAAACAACAATTTGACTTTTTGTCAGGGTGTCATGAGTCAGTTTGATTCTTAGCACCACTGCTGCTTGTCTTGGTTCCGGCCAAGAATGAATCCAACACATAAAAGTATCTTCATGACTTTGTTGTACATAGAGCCAGTGTAGCTGTTTCCTGCTGTTTCTAGTCTCTACACTGAAGCGAAGCTAACCAGCTGCCAACTGTATTTATTCACATCAGAGGGGTATTGATCTTCTTACCTAACTCACAGCAAGTAAGCCCACAGTGTTTATCTTTAAAATTGTGACTATAGCCATGACAAACATAAATTATTATTTGTGAATCTTTATAATATATTATATTCTATATTATTCTGCAATTTCCCTGTTGCAGTTGTTTGAGATGAAGTTCATCCACCCATTATCTATATTGCTTATCCTTTGAAGATCACAGGGGGAAGCTGGAGCCAATCCCAGCTGACATTAGGCGAAAGGCAGCTTACACGACAGGTTGTTGTCTATCACCCGGCCGACATTAAGCTGTTTTCAGACAAGGGCTACGAAAATTGTCCAGAACATTTGGTTTTCTGCATATGTGAAAGGCGACCTTTCACATATGCACAATGCATCAGAAGATTGTCAGATACTCACAAACAGCTTATTTTTTAAATTTCAGTGCATATCTGAAAGCAGCTATACAGAGACAAACAACCATTCACACTCGTATTCACACCTGCAAGCTGTTCCACCAAGCTAGTCACAAATTAACCCAATATATATGTCTCTGGACTGTGGGAGGAAGCCGGAGTGTCTGGAGAATACCCACACAGGCACAGGGTCATTAAACTATATGAGTCTTTTTCATTAGGGTATGTATAGCCGTAGGGAATTTTGGAACCTTTTTAAAGCTTTATCTCAGAATAAACCTTTTAGTAACTCTGTCTGGGGAGGCTCAGAGGTTCAGAGGTTGCCTGGTTGACTCATGCTAAGCCCCCATCTCCATGACCCATCGGTGTCCTTTGGTATATACCTCCAATAGCCAAGTAGGAGGAATCAGAAATACATCATTAAGTCTGTTGAAACCCATGTGTGTGACTGTCTCATCTGTCCGGGGTCATGTTGTGTCCAATTACCACAAAGGGACAGAGAGCAGGCTGGGAATTGAAACACAGATCGTGGGTGACAGACAGATAGAAATGGAAACTCAAAAAGAGACATTACAGGTTTTCAGTACGCCGAGAGCAGCAGATAATCAGCTACATGTCAATGTGTGACCTGTTACCTGTATGATACTTAGAATTCCCAGTGTCTTTCCCATTTACTCTCTGTCTGAAATCCACTCTCTTGTCCGTATCAAGGCCCACTCGCTGTGTGAGCAGAATCAAAATAGAATCTGAGAACAACACGGGATGTAAATCTTTAAAACCTGGGAACACCCATCGAAAAGCGAAGAGAACACAATTAAAAAGAGCATTTATTCAATTTATTCCAACACTTGTCAGTCAGATGTGAGTGATTTGTTTATCCCTCCTTTCTAATGCATCATGTCAGTATATCAGAGGGCTTCTCTTGCTGCTGCCTGTCTTTTCTAGATGGATCTCCTGTGAGACTATGATGCTCGACTCTAACAAGCACAAAGGCAGAAACAGTATACCAGCCCGAAGCTCCCTGTAGGCCAATGGCGCCTGAGGTCAGAAACAAAGAAAACAGCCTTGGAAAAGACAACGGTACAGGCGCGTCAGCTGACTGAGTCATTGAATAATATATCTGAGATCATGCAGGCAAAGATACTTTGAACACACTTGTATATGTTTTGTCTGAAACGTAAGTTTAATGTAGCTGTTGGCTAAACCCCGTCCCTGAGCAGTGATTGTTAAATCACAGATTAGTGACAGTAACTATGAACAGCGGGCCTGTGAAGCTTTCACCATATGTTCAAATGGTTTACATGGGGATGATTAACAGGCACTGTATTTTAAAAAGCACACACTATCACACAGAGTTGTACATCCTGTTATAGCCACTGTAGCCCTGGTGCTTCTATATCAGGGTTTAGACTAAAGTTGGCTGAATCCATCATGATCTTTGCTGGGTTGGAAGAAATTTAAACTCTTGAGTGTTACATTTGCTTGACTAGTCTAATGTTAAAAATCCATATATGGTATAAATCAGACTGTTGCTTGTGGAGGTATCCAAACAGGATTACACCAGAATAACATAGATAGTCTATTTCCTGCTACCTGCTTATTAAAAAGAAAAAATACTGTGACCTTCCTTTATATGCCAACATCATTTTTCAAACTAAACTTCTTCTTGTATTCATATAAATCTCTGGTTACTCTGTTTAACATTATCTTAGATTTGAATTGGTTATATAAATATTTATTTCATTATTGAAAACAATCAGCACATAAACTGTAAGTCACCTAAATATTATTTGATAGTTTTATATATTATAATTTATATCTAAGTTTACAACACTTGCTTTTAGTTCCCACCTGCCCATGGGGGGCATTATTAAGACAAGAGAAACTGTAAGTGTTACCTGCAGTCCTGAAAATAGCCTAAAATAAGGGTTACGATTTGACCAGGGTCAAAGACAACCTGGATCAGAGGTATTAGCAAAACAGAGAACCCATAAACCTAAACATTATGTTATTCTTACACACATGGTGATTATTTCTGTGCTTCTCTTTGTCTTGGCGATTTAATGTTTTTCATGTTGAGAGAAAAACAAAGCCCATGAGTGTGTTGACTGGAGCTCTGACTTTGTTGAACTGAAACACAACTGAGTGGTGGATATTACTCATGATACCCAGCTTCATGACCCAGAAGAGCTGCTGCTGTAACAAGTACACCAAACTCTGTCTTTAAACTTTCCTCGCTTAATTGGTTTAAAAAATAAATATTTTAACAGATCTACAATCTGTTATTAATCATTTGTCTTGAACTTGCTGGCTCTGATTCTGGCAATTTAAGTGTCACATCCTGTCCTTTAGGTCATGTTTTTATCATTTCTATAATTCAGTCTTGGTCTTCCTGTTTTATTTTGTATATCACATTCTGTTTTGTTTCAGATTCTCACTTCCTGCTCTCCCCATGTTTGATTACCTGCTTCGCCCTCATGTGTTTCACCTGTGTCTCATTATCAGCCCGCCCCTCAGAGTATTTAATCTTAATGTTTCTTTTGTCTGGTGCCAGTTCGTCTTGCTCCTCAGTGACTAGGACACCAGCACTCTACTCCTCTGGGTATGAGCTGATTCTTTGTGTTTTTGGACCAGTCTTACTCTGTACTGAGCCTTGGACTGATTATCCCTCTGTCTCGAGTCGTACATTTGAATCCTTTGTTTGTGCCTTGCTGATGGATATGAAAGTTACATAGAGCAAGAACAAGTCAGTGCACCATCGATCTAATTTTAAAGCTGCCATTTTAAGGTAAAAAAGTTGCCTTAAGAAAACACATGGGGAAGCTGAACAGTGCAACAAGTGTGATTATTATCCAACTCATCTCTTTTGAATATTTCAGGATTTAACCAATGCAGCTGTGGCAGCTGAAGCAGCAACAGAGGGTCAGGAAGGGACAGCAGCTAATGAAGAGAGAGATATGGGAGAGGAGGAGGAGGAAGAGGAGGAAGAGGACAGCTGCCAACATGATGCTGTGGGAGAGCCGGCTCGGGCAGAAGTAGAAGGTAAAACTGACAGCGAACATGGAAATAGAGCTATAGATTGGATGTTATATGGATGGTTCCGAATATTCATTGAAACCTCTCAACGTTTGTGAATTCGAGAAAAAAAAGAAAATAGATAAGTCAAGGAAAGTGCTTGAATGTATACATTTAATGCAAAAACAATAATCTCACATCTGTGCAACCCCTTTGAGTTGGTTCAGTCCAACCACTCACTGCCACAGCATCATTTTGCCATCAATCCACTCTGCAGCCTTTTTGCAAATATCCCATTTAGCTTAAATGCAGCCATTAGCTGAAAACAAGACACTGGAAAAGTTCTGAAAAGACCAGGTGTTGCATGACCCTGCCTGGTCTACTAGCTATAAAAGACACATTATCCTCTGTCTGAAACTCTTGTTTTAACTCTTGCCTTTTTAAGGCTCCGCAGTCAGCTCTGATTGGCCGGCTGGCTCACTCTTGATTGGTCAGCCGCTTCCATTATTCTTACATCCTACATGTGTAGGAAGCTTTAGCCTCTTGCTTTCAACCAGCTGCTAGGCGTGAATTTTGGAGGCACACTGACTCACCACCTTTGCTTTTACTGTAACTTTGAAATGAAAGTTCCTCATCTCGCTTCATCCGATGGAACTATTGATGTTTATCTTTTGCTTTTTCTTCACTTCTGTGTCAAAGACCCCTGAAGACATCAAATGCTGGTGAAAGAGGTAGAAGTGGGAGATAAATATTGAGACATTGTGTGTGTGTGTGTGTGTGTGTGTGTGTGTGTGTGTGTGTGTGTGTGTGTGTGTGTGTGTGTGTGTGTGTATAGGGAGGGAGCACAGTGCTCTGGGCATCAGATGAGACTTTAATCATCAGCTGTGAGGTCAGGAATGCATGGAGGGCCTTGAATACATCTATTGTTCAGCTCTGGCGCATCTGAGTTGCAGGTAATCGCAATATCGTCTTTGGTTTTATTTCTCATTGTTTTCTCTCAGCCCTCTGAAAACCACTGACTGTACAAACATTGGAGCGCTGATGACTGACAGCTCCAAATCGCACACGCGGCTCGCTCACACACCGTTTCTGCAGAAAGAAACACATCTTTTGTTCTTTCACAGCCCTAAAACGTTCAGCCCTCAGTCAACTCTGCAAAGTGATTTCCCCCCTGATGTTCTCATCATCATCAGCTTTTGAATAAAATCCTAAACTACAATAATAAAGTGCTGCACTTGTTACTTGACAGTACTTGGTGGAGATGAGCTCCATTTACAGATGTAATCCACTGTCAGTTTAAAAGAGCAAAAATTCCTCTTGCTGAGAAAAAGAATAGATCTTTTCTTCTGTCTGATGTGAGACAACTGGAATGAGGGAAGAGGAGCAGAAAACTGATGTAGCGTTTCCAGTGTTTGGCACCGTTGAATTTACTCACATCTCTGGACTGGAGAGAAAGAAGTGAGATAAAAGTGAGTGTGTCATCACATTGTTTTGCTGAGGGTGATTGGAGCAGAACTGTTATGCAGTGGTGAGCCATGTTTCCTCCCAGCCAACAAGTTTGATCTGGGTTTGAAACTTTCTGTTTAGAGTTTGCATGTTCTCACTGTGCCGGCTCGGGAGGGACCACAGCATGTGTGCTTCTTTGTGAACTCCGCAGGAAAAAGTTGAGCAAAATGTCTGGACAAGCTGATTTATTCAGCGTCCAGGAGATTTCAGGTGAATGTTTGCACTTCATGTTTATACCCTGTGATAAACTTGCCAACTGTCAAGTGTTTGGAAAACAAGCTGCAACCATTTTTATGGTGCTATTTCTTCTGCCATTGTTGGCAAAACTAATATTTCCTTAATATTCATAGGATAAGAAGTGTGGTATTTCTCTTATATTGAGATTGGCAATGGAGTCTTGCACTGATTATTTATCATTGACCGTGGATGTTCATTTCACATCACATTTTGACTGACTCACGCTCAGTATTCTGTGGAAGCCCAGTTAAAATACTTTTAAATGTATCCCCTAACTTAAAGAGCTAATATGAACAAGCTTTTAATACATGGAGCCGAGGCAGAGTGAGAGTTCTTCAAGAGTTGAAATGTTTTTCATAGACGAGTGAGAAGAAATTAATTTGGCATTTGTAATTAAGTCGATATTAAAATGCATTAAGGAAGCATCTACTGTTTATTAAAAAAATCAATACTGTTAATTAAAAAAATCAATAACACATAGACCTGTCGCTACAGTCACATACAGTTATTTATTCTGTTGGTTGGACGAGCTCATGTGCTGCAATGCTCTTGTGATGAAACATATTTATTCGAGCTGTAGACAAGACGAGAGAGGAGGAAGAGAGCAGAAGATAAAAGGAGAGAATAACAAATTCAGACATTAATCATGACAGCTGATTGTGGTCTGCAGCGCCAACATCTCAAATTGCTTCTGTTTCTGACGTTCTCATTAGCAGCACTCTCCTCGTTTTTTGTGCGTCCTTCGCTCTCGCCGTCTTCCTCTGTCCCTCCCGCTTGTTTGGTATGTGACTTGATTTGGAAAGCAACAGTGACAGGGAGCTTGATTTATCACTTTCTTCCAAGAGAAAAACTACTCGCCCCAAAATACAATAAAACACTGTCAGTGACGCTGTAGTTAAAAGGCAATTACACTCGCTCCAGGTTCTCCATCGACATAGATGAAACTCGAGCACTAACGCTTTGATAGTTTTCAACCACACACACAACAAATCCTATCGCCTGACAAGACTGCAGCTAAGTGTAAGTGACATCAAGGCTTGAGCTCATGTAAAGAAAACCAAAGGTGTTTCTGTCTCATGTTAGAGAAAACATTATAGAGATTTTAGGTTTGAAGAGAAAAGATTTTAGGAAATTAAAAAAAGTACACAATCATGTTGAAAGTAACTTAGCCAAAGGAAATGTGTTTTCAGTTGTTGCAAGAATTGCTTAGACATTAAATGTTAAACTGAGAAACCAAGAAAAACACAAGCTGTGAGAAGACCTTAAAGCAACCCTCTGAAGGCTCGTGTCCTGAATGTGGATATAATTGTAAATGCAGCCTTGAGCATGATTGAGCGCACATCAACGCAACCAACACAATTTTCCTACAGGGGACGAGCGGCGCGGTACAATCTGGCTGCAGCACAGCACAAAAAGGAAAAACTAGGTAAATGCATCATTAGCAGGATGAGGAGAGAATCCACAGGCTGGTGACCTTGAATAAGGACAAATCACATCACCTGTAAAAGCCTCTGACACTTGGAAGAGCCAGGAGGAGAATCCAGGGACCGATTCCACAGAGACGATGTGCACAGAATGCAAATGGTGGCAGCAAGACTCGATAATTATTGTCCTCGGGACTGTTATATTGTCAATAAATGATTATATCAAGGTTCACTTTTTACATTCAATCCAGTTTTGGTTTCACTTTGTAATTTTGGAAGCCTGAGGACTTTTGTGTGACATGTACGTCCTGTCATCATCACCTATAGGCGGGCTGTGTCTACCTTGACATTGATTGGTTTGTAGCCCAGTGTGCCTCTGACGGAGGAAATTGATGAAACTTTTTCTTTTCATAGTATTACTACTACTACTACTAAGAAATTACATGTGAAACTGAGAAACCATGAAATACACAAGCTGTGTCTATGCTATTTTTTTCCACAGATTTACTTTGTACCCAGGTTTGAGAAATGATGCAGTAGATGGCTTGTACTGTATATTGAAGCCTGACTGAGATACATGGACACCTGCTGTGAATCACTTAACTTTTACATTTACGCTCTGTGCTGCAGCTCCTCCTACAAGGAGCACGACTGCAGGAAACATATATCCTATCTGTTTAAATGATGGAGGAAGTGACAGATAGTAATTCAGCTCTCTCCATCACCTATGCCAGAGGGAAAGGTGACCATGAGGTTGAATTTAAACCACATCTATACATCACAGTCAACACATGAGCTGCTTTCAGATATGTAGGTCCAGACGTTTTCCTGGAATTTATCGGAGGGACTGTATGTGAGAATGTAAATGTCAGTCAGTTGCTCTCGTCATTTTCTATAACCTTTCCTGCCTGCCCCCCCCAGTAAAATGTCCCGTGGGCTTGTTGATACAAACAAGTAGAAGATGCAGACGAGGACGTCAACTTGGAAAGAGGAGATTCAAGAACTTCTTGCGAAAAGTTCAGATGGTGATTTCCCCAGCAGAATTAATCATATATATTTTAGTCTGGAAATGGCTGTTCTTTCTACCTCAGAAATCTAATAAGTGGGAAGGTACAAGATAAAGGCACAGTCACACACATACAAATGTAGCAGTGGAAAACCGTCTCCTGCTCACTTCCATTCTGTGTGAGAGAGTGGGCGGACTAAATGAAGCACATGTAGCGTGCACAGAGATCAACTTTGGTGAACTTTGACTGGTGGCTTTAGGGCTTCATCAGATAAAAACTAAATTTTTGTGGTTGACCCACCTCTACTGTCACATCCTGCACTGCCCACACTTCACAAGCGATGTTGCATAAATCGTGATTAATTCCTCTGCTTTTGTGTGACTCTGCCCTGAAGCAACACTTCTTCAAAAATGTCTCCTAGAAGAGAAGAGCTGCAAAGTTGACTCACTATCCATCCACTGTTTTAGTCAGCCTGGCAACCAGTTGCAACTTTCTTAAACTTTATTCGAGCCTTTCAAAAAAATAAAAAGAGAGGGAGAAAATGTGAGCTTGACGTGAATAAAAAATCAGCGCCTCCCTGTCTAATTAGCTTGCATGGCTGAGATTCTTCCTGTTTGCTAAGCTCCCTTACAGCCTGGAGGCTCATGAAACATCATGAAATGAGCGTGTCTCAAAAATGTAAAATCATATTCTCTGTGTGAGAAAGGTAGAGGGATGTTTCCGCAGCATGAAAGCAAGGACACAACAGGAAACAGTGTTGGAAGAAGAACATGTTCCTACATTTGCCAGAACATTTCAGAAGCTATGCATTTTAAGAATACAGCTTCGTGTGCGTGTGTGTGAGAACCATAAT